AAAGGGCTTCTGTCAGCCTTGCTTTTGAACAGTCTGGAGGGACAGGAAAAAAACAAGGCCATCCGCCCTTCCACCCAAATAAATACAGGTTCCTGCACTCTCCCAGAACTCAGTTCGCTTTCAAATCCGTTTTGTCACCAGAATAGAAAAATATTCAGAAATAGTCTATACCCACACGTGTGAGTGCTGATTCTTTTTTCAAGTTCCCCTCTTAATTCCACCCCTTGAATCTGGGAAGCAGAGGATATCCACAGTCCCTTGATGTTTGAAGGAGGCATACATTTTAAACTGCTATAGAAACAGACTCATCTAAAAAACTTTGGTCCAGCTATGTCTCAAATCCATCTTTAACTTTGACTCTTAAATTGCAGTAAGTTTTGAAAACTACTAATTCATCAAAAAGTAATACAAGTAAATGACAGTACTTCAAATACATACTTCAACTATTCATACTGTATGATAATTTTAAAAATAAAAACCTGAACTTAATTACAGCCCCAAATCACAACTACACTGTCAACAGTCTGTTGCTTATAATTTTTTGTGTGATCCTATTTGTTTAGCAAACAGATCCTTAATCTTATTCTAGCATTTACATTCACAACTGATGCTTAAGGGGAAAAAAAAAAGTCCTATTAATTCAGTTACTCTCAGGATTTGCTCAAAGAATAGTTCACAAAAATATATTCCCCTCCAATATGTGTTATCTCTTTTCAATGTTTCATAAATCTGCTTTATGAGTTTCTATTATACTAGCCAGGATTACTCCATTTTGTAGCTTTCCAGATACCTCTACAATAAAAATCAGCAGAATGCTGACTTTGCTTTCTGGGTGACATTCAGGTGAGGGAGATTACCCTAAATAAAAAAAAATCTTTTGCTAGTGTATGTAGGGAAGTATTATAAAGGCCCTTTCTCTCAGTGCAGCCTGAGAGCATTCATTAGCCACTGGTTATCACTCCCTGATTTTGTGCCTAATAGCTGCTACAGATTAAATGCAAATATAAGAATTATAGTTTCTACCAGCCGATAAGGAGCCACACTTCAGCTGCAAAATCCAAACAGCACATTACACACTGCATGGCACAGCACTGCCACTCCTCTCTCTAGCCTTTCTCTCAGTGCAGCCTGAGAGCATTCATTAGCCACTGGTTATCACTCCCTGATTTTGTGCCTAATAGCTGCTACAGATTAAATGCAAATATAAGAATTATAGTTTCTACCAGCCGATAAGGAGCCACACTTCAGCTGCAAAATCCAAACAGCACATTACACACTGCATGGCACAGCACTGCCACTCCTCTCTCTAGCCAACTACACACTGCTGTGCCCCAAGGCAGAGAATCAGCTACCAATTTAGCAACCTGACTGTTGTGCTCACCTTACTAATCCTACCCAACACACCTTTACAAAAGTTACACTGTCACGTACTTCATTCAACACTTTAGTTTTCAAATGACATGACTGACATTAAGCAATATTTACCTGCTTCTTCTTTAATAAATGACAAATCTTCTTCTGGATAGGGGACTGATGGCTGCAACACTGAGCAATCTTCCGAGTTCTCTTCAGTATTAGGTGGTATATTATAAATAAATCTCTTTGCAGCTTGGTTTTTCCTTCTTGCCTTTCCAGGTTCTTGAACTGATTGTCCCTGTGCACCCATGTCATTCCACACGAAAACTTTTCCCTCACCTTGAGATTCATTTTCAGCCATTTCAGGTGAGCTGTCCTGGACCCAACCGCAGTCATTCATTTGGTAGCTTTCCATTTGGCCCTCGTCAATAGGGTAAGGATCGTTCTCAGTTTTAATGCTACTTGCCAAGTTGGTAAGGTTTCGTGTTGCCCAGAAGCTGGCAACTTTCTGATCCCTTGGAGACAAACCATCCCTACTAACAGATCTTCTGTTGTAATCCACTACAACGGTCTCTGGAGCTTCCGATTTTATACTTATGCTTAAGGCATCTTTAATGAAGTTGCGGCAGGACTGGACAACCTCGGTCATCTGAAGGTAGCTGGCCACCGACATCACTTCAATGGCATTTTGGCTCGTAAGCACGAGGTTACCAGAATATAGGAAGTCCAAGATGACAGAAAAACCTTGAACAGCAACAACGTCTAAATAGGTAACAGTGGTTTGGTTACGGCTTTCTTTGTTTGTAAAGCAATACAGAGTCTTAAAGAAGCGGCTGCCTGCAACCAGGATGTTCTTGTGAGCTCTGAAGACCCTCCCACTCACCACAATATTAACATCACAAAGAATGCCTTTCTTCCTCTGCTCGTTGAGCTCTTGCAGGAGCTGATAGCAGTAAGAGTTCTCGTTCGGCCTGCTGTTAAAATCACAGTATCCTTCATTATTCAGTTCTGACGGTAACTCTGCCTCCTGCAATAAAAAAACCACAAACATAATTAGCTCTTAATGAACGCTCTCCTTACTCCTCCAACACTACAAGAAGGATGTAAAAATTAACTTAAGAAGATAATTTTAAGCAAATGATTTTTTTTATTTATGTTCTTGGTCATAAAGGCAGACAGGAATATATAACTAACAAAGTATTTCTGAAAGCTAAGAATCATGACCTCATCGCACACTTTCCAACTCCCAAATCTCAAACAAAAACAGAACTAGTAGATTTGCCTTCAGGGCAAAGGAAGTGAAATTTCAGCCAAAAGTAGGAAATTATTTAGTTGAGTGTGAAGTACTTGTTTTTCTTAACCTACATGTATTAAACAAGCAGGAGCCTCTCCTTCCAAAGACTTAACTAGGTGGTTCTAACATATCCCAACCCTCATTCTTCCCTAGAAATCTCCACTTAAACAAGTAAGCAGAATTCTGATAAATGATTCAACCTTTTCTCATGCTGAAAAGATGAGTATGTAAAGATTAGGTCTGCATCTCCCAATCTGTCTTGTATGTTTTCAAGGAAAACATATTGCCGAAGTAGATACAATAGCAGACATTTCTTACACAGTTCCACAAGTTAGGCATTTATCCTTTATTTTCTAACTGCAGCAGGCTTAGGATTAAACAGCTGCATTACATGACAAATAGACAGAATACTGCAGATGACCAAAGAAATCTTAAATTTCCATTACATTCATTACTTAACTAAGACTTTGACTGAAGCTTAACTGAAGCTTTCCCAGTGGCAACACCTCTAACTGGTACATACTCATTACACAGACAATAGGTCCTTATTTGTTTCTCTACAACCTTTTACAGATGGGGTCTCAAACATGCCTTCAAAATTTTGCTACAGGCCGATATTATCAGACAATCCAACCCCAAGAAATTAGCTGTTACTAAAGATTAGTTCAGACAATGAGAGGCTGATAAGCATCAAGAGATCTGAACTGGATTTCAGAGTTTAGAAAACTTCTGACTCATGTTTAGACAATCATGATTCAGAGCTGCTACAAAGCAGCAGCCAGGAGAAACCAGGAAACAACAGTCTGGCATATCTGAGACCATGCTTGCATGGACTGACATATGCTGCCATCAAGAGCAGCAACAATGACAGAGTCTGTTTTATACTGCATCTCCAAGATTTTCACTTCTTCCCTAGCAAATAAAGGCAGTTCAATATGGTTTAGGATGAGAGAAGATCAGATTTTGAAAGCTATGTAATTTATTTTATGATCTTATTTCCTAAAACATCTCACTGATTTGGGGTCTAGAGGTATTGTTAAAGCTCGACTGCCTCAGTATTACAGGTCAAAATCAGCACTGAGATGGCAATGTTGACACTGTTATGAGCCCATAATCTATACCGGGGCTAGAATACAAGCTGCAAAAAGTACTACCCTTGTGATGATGGCAGAAACCAGACAGATATAAAGCCACTTTCCACCACACAGGAATCAGTGGAATAAATTAGTACTAACCTCAAGTTATAATCCCAGTGTGGATCACTGGAATGAAAACTGAGGCTGTAACTACATCTAAAACAGTGTTTACAGCTATAAGCAGCAGGTACTACCCAACATAACCAAAATAGAAACTGTGCCATTTCAGCATCTCCCGCAGAGAAATTTCTGTTTGCTGCCACATTCAAGTTGCTTCTGAATCTCTACCCTTGTCATAAAAACACTTCCATGAAAAGATGTAGAAATAAAAGCAATTAAGATTTCATGTGAAAACAACCATCAGATCTTTGTCCAATCTCAGCTTATTTTTATGCATACTCTGACACACCCCCCCCGTACTCCCTCAGATCAGAGCATGCACCAAACGTGTGACAGCTAAGTCTGTCACTCTAAGTTCTCAGTGGATTTCAGATCTGGACTAGCTTCCTGTCACTCCAGCAACAGAGCACTGCATAGTTTCAAAACACCAATTACACTGACATTGGATCAGATTAAGATAAAATTATGGCACCCTAAAGTGTTGTCACTCTTGTCAATCATCAGTGACTTGCACCTCACACAGTAAATCTTAGGTAGATGCTATGATAGGTGCCAATTTCATTCTCTGAGAGCATGTTGAGTACCACATACATATTAAAAATAGTCTGCAGCAGTTCTTTCCTTTTCACAAGTGTCTGATTAAAGAATGGAGATAGAGCACATTTTAACTCAGCAAGTGTACATATCCAATCAGGCTGGTAAAAAAAAATAAAATTGATATTACAACACTGGGCTTTTTATTTCCTGAGAAAAGGATAAGCCAGCTGCAGATCACAAATGTCCTACAGAAAGACAAGACTGAAGGTTTCATTATGAGAAGACCAGAAGGTTGTGTGGAAATAAAAGACATTATGCAACTGATGTACAAGATATAGGAGTGTGTGTTGGGGGAAGAGACCAGTATCACAGCTTTACAGAAATAGGTGCATAAACATTCTTAAAACTAACTGCAATATTAGAAAAAACTGTTTAACTGCTGGTGTGGAAGCAGCTAACCCTAATGCCACACTCAAATGAAATGTAAGTCCTGACATCTTAAGAGTTTTCAAACCTATGTACACCAAGGGTGATAAGGAGGATTAACATTTACTGTGAGAAAAAAGAGAAAACCCAACACACACAAAAAAACCCCCAAACAACCAACAAAAACCCCACAAAAACCCAACACACAAAATAAACACACAAACACAAAAAACTCACCAAAAAACCCTCTGAGAGACTGTTAAACATTTGTACAGAAAATACAATCCAGTTTGATAGGAGGTAAGGTGCAGAAAATCGTTAGAGGAAAAAACGTTACTTCTGTTGTGCTCACAGTACATCATCCCAAGGGTTCTGTTATTCTGACAAGATCCACAAACTAACGGTACTTGCTTGGATATCAATTATATCTCAAGAATACAGACCACGACCTAAGTAAAACACCAAACCACCTTATCTTTTAATAAAAACTTGTAAGAGATATATCAGCATAATTTCATTTTAATTTGAGGAATCTATGGCATTCTAAATCAAAAACTTGGTGTGGGAGAGATTAAGAAGTGGTTTAAGAGAACAGAGACTGCTCAAGGAAACTTAATATTATTCTCAGTGTCAAATAGACTCATCTGAATAAAAAAAAGATAAACTACTATTTCATATGTATCATTCACTAACTAAAACTTGCCTAAAAGCTAACAGGAGCAGAAACAGATGATCAAGAACTCTTACTAGAAACTTAGCTTTCTTTCTTCTCCTGTTCCATCAGCATACTCTTCCTGCGAGCAAGCACAGTGAGGGCAGGAAGAAAGAAAAACAAAGAAACAAAACCAATCCAGCCAGAGATTCCATCTCGGCTGCATCTGTAAGGAAAGCAGTCATGCTGCATTTTTACAACCCCTTCCCCAGTACTACATCTTACTCTACAGCAGTTCCCTATGTCCCCAAATTAATTCTTATCCTGAGAAATGAATCTTCTAATAAAGCAAACTAACAGTAGCTTCTTAAGCACATGCAGCTACAGAGGAAAATGATACCACAATACAGTGCTATCAGCTGCACACACGATGCTCCACTGCCGTTCTACATGGCATAGCATCACTTACAGAAAATTCAGCAATTTAAAATTGTTCCTTTAAGTGCCTGACATCAAACTGAGCAGTCTGAGGTCTGGTAAAAACACTACATAAAAATACTGGAAGTGGTAGCCTGACTTCCTCTCCTAAGAGTAATTCAAGAAGTTAACTTGGAACACTCTAATGTAACTCTTCTATCTGAAGCATGACTTCCATTCATCACTGCTCACACAAAGCAAGCAATTACAGTTCACATGGAAAAAATAACACATCAAAGGCCTTCCTCCTTTCGGAGAGCTTCTGCTTTAAACCAACATGCCTGTTCAGCTGGAGAAAGCTTTTCTGGCAGTATTTCCAAAACTTAGCTTCAAATTATGTCCAGAGAGAAAAGTTTTGGGAGGCTGGTTTGAGAGGACGAACCCCCTGCAGTCAACAGATCTGTACCTTATGGGCCAAAATTCACCACAGAATTAAAATATTTTGCAGTGATTTCCCAGTAAGTGTCTATTTCTCAAGATTTGTGCAACACAATAGTCTGCTTATGAAAAAAAACCCGAAGGTAGTTTCAAGCCGATTATAGATTTCCTTAAGATTTATTATGGATACAGATTATTTTAAAAACTAGAATAGAAAAAAAAAGTCAAGATGTTGGTCTTAGGAAAAAAACATCAATTCAGCCCAACCCCCTTGCATTACAGCAGCTGCAAGCACTTGTGTTGTATTTTGGCATTCCAAATTAAATGTATCTCAAAAATAAACTGAAATCATCACTCATTTCTTCATGAGTGTAATATCCAACAGACCTATAGAAATTTCCACTGCTTTACTGTCTCAACACCTACAATTTCCTTCTCGCACTTGCACAGTGGCACCATGCCATATGTTTATTAGCAGCTGCTAAACATGCCCTGCAGTTGAGGCTTGTCAAGCCCAGAATACACGTGTGCTGTCTCCAACACAAAGGCTGAAAGATCTCTCCCAAGTTTCATTAAATCCAAACAGCTTTGCTGCCTCATTATGTATGTTGGAAATACGGTCAGGATACAAACTGCCTACTTTTGTTCCAAGTATCTGGTATCATGGCATTAAGGAAAAAATGGGACTATTGTTTTGGTATTAATTTAAACATATGTATCGAAAAGAAATTCAAGTGCCATTAAGAGTATGAAAGGATACGGAAATTAAACATAGAAGTGGAAAGAAAACAGAGATTCTTAATCAGCATTTTGATAAATCAAGTGTAACCTGAAAGTGCACCACACAGAAAACTACACTCTTAAAAAAATCACAACCCCTTCCCTTGTGAGAAGTGTAATTGCAAAGGGATGCACAGAGCAGTTTTCCACTTGAAAACACCAAATCTCTGTACAGCTACATTTGTCCTAACCTCATCTTCAATCCAGTGCAAAAGAATCACTGACTT